CCTTATCTTAATGTGGAACTCAGTGCCCAGCAACCTGTGTCTCTATTGAGCTATGAATGTGAGCTTCCAAATCCCATAGTAATCCAGTTCCTCCAACACTAGAATTTGGAGTACTATCCTCATTGTACCCAACCACATAGTTAATTTAAGAGAGAGTCTCGGTGTCCAGAATGGATTCATCTGAGACCTGAGTTATTCTCCTTGTAGGTGAAGATGATGGAAGCACAGGCCAAAGAGTGGGAAATGGTGGGTACATTGGTTGATCAAGCATCCAGTTGATACTGAAACTGGAACAAATACTTGATAGAACATTCAGTGAGGGAAAGCGTTACAATTTCCAATATGATTCTGTTGTAAAATCCTTTCAAATTTATGAAACATCTGCCTGCTGTTAATCATTATTTCAGCTGTTTATATTGGGGCAGTTAATAAAGAAATAACAATATTAGCATTAATAGTCATTACAACTTCAGTTTCAACACCCCCTTAATATTACAGCGACTGCTAGTCTCTCTCTTAAAGCTGTTTTGATCTCTTTGCAAAGTCAAGAAAATATTGCGATAATTTATGTTTTGTAATTTAACTGCACGCCAATAATTGCTGAAGGCTATTTTTTTTTTAAACATAAAACTTAACTTTTACAATACAGTGTCACACAAATCCACTGGGACAGAGTTAATGCACAGGAACTGCTGTGGATTTAATTTGAGACTAATGAAAATGGGATGAGGAAGATATTAATTTCAGATAAAATATTTTTAGTTTGATACAATTATTTTTCTTTCTGTACAACTGTTTTGAAAGCCACAATTTAAACAAAAATAAATGTTTTATCATTTTAGATGAAAGCAGTAGCTGGTATGAAGATGTCTTACCAGGTACAACAGGCAATCAACACATGCCCAAAGAATCCTGTAAGGGGTTTTAGGCATGATGAATCCTCCAGCGCTTTGTGTTCACATCTATACTCCATGATCCGAGGGAACCGTCAGCACAGACGAGCCTTTTTAATTTCTTTACTCAACCTCTTTGATGACACAGCAGTAAGCATCACATTAAATGTACCTCGTTTTAAAAGAAATTAGGATAAGTTGTTCATAAAGTAAGGTTGAAATGATGAATGTTGGTGTCCTTACTTTATGTATTTTTATGAGATTTGGTGAAATTTGGTTTGACTAACTTTATTCCTCTAGTCTTTTTTATTTGGCTGCAAAATTGAATACATTTCCCCTTATAACAACCTTTTCAGCCATTTTATATCTCCTTCAGCCCAGTTTGGATAGAACAATAATAATGAAAGTTAATTTGTGAAGAAAATTTTGCATGTTCAGAATGTTCTCAAGGCAGACAATTTACTTTGGATCAAATAAATGTTGACTTTTCCCCTCAAGGTTCTTTGAGAGTAGTACAAAAACTAATCCTGCCATGTTTTGTGCATGTGTATTACATTTTATATAAAATGGTTTTTTTTTAATTTGCAGAAAACAGAGGTGAATATGCTCTTGTATATAGCAGACAATCTAGCGTGTTTTCCTTATCAAACGCAGGAAGAGCCACTGTTTATAATGCATCATATAGACATTACACTGTCAGTTTCTGGTAGTAACCTATTACAGTCATTTAAGGAGGTAAGTGCTCTTATGATCTATTAATATACATGTTGCAGTGAAGTTATATTGGCACCATAATGAGTTTTACTAAGTCGTCCCAGTGTTTGCACACATGGCCAATAAACAACATTACTTTGGAACCAATAACATAAATTGCTGTCAGTTCTGACCATGTGAGGGATCTGTGGTGAGAAATTTTCATTCATTTTGAAAACTCAATGGAAAATATTAAGAGAGGACTGGGAGGGAAGTTTGGAAAGACTGGGATTGTTAGATTTAATGTTTGTCAGGGAAGAGGGATCCCACAATCCAGGTTACTTAGGTTTATGTTCTTTTCATCCTTCCTAAACATATGAGCCATAAGCAGTCTTTCTTGGTTGGAATGTTGCCCTGGGAACTCAGAAAATGTTTTGAATGTATCTGTCTGTTGGCAAGGTTTATTTCTATGTAGCTCACATATATTCATTTACTTTGTATGGCTCTTCACTTGCACTTTTCTTCATTATACTGTGCATATTGTGTACCTCTTAATTACAAATAGTTTCACTAGTAATTTTTTAAGCTGCAATAGTCATACTAAGATTCATCTATCTTGGGCCTCTGTGAGGGGGAAATATTTTAAATCATAGTAACAATTTTGAGAGACGAGTTTCATGTACTGAATTTTAAAACAAAATTGAATTATTATGTATGTATATTCAACACAAACATGGAAGTGATATAAAAATTTACTTTCCCTTTGATTTCCTTACCTGTATTCTGCCTAATACTCAGTCTCCACTATAGTACTGCTACAAAACCTCTGTACTAAAACACAGTCTTACCCAGACTGTTGATTTTTAAAGAACAATTTGCTAGAATTTTGATTAAATATTTACCGAATTAAAATAATCGAGTGTCTTTATATATATGAATATATATATATATGATAAAATGCATATGTAGTATTGTATAAATGAGTTTGAGACTACTGCTTTACTGAATGTGCCAATGTCATGAACATGTTATTCAGCACAACTCGAATAAGTTATACCATACCAAACTCTCATTTATTCTTTATAGATCACTCATAACAAACTATTTCAGAAAGATTTGAGAAATTCTTATTTTATTACTAATATTTAATATTGCTTGAGACTACTGCTTTACTGAATGTGCCAATGTCATGAACATGTTATTCAGCACAACTCGAATAAGTTATACCATACCGAACTCTCATTTATTCCTTATAGATCACTCATAACAAACTATTTCAGAAAGATTTGAGAGATTCTTATTTTATTACTAATATTTAATATTGCTAACGCATACTTATATTGTATCCTTCTGCATATATGTGTGTCTTAGTTATCATGAGTCTAGTCACAAAGTCATCAGAGAAAATCATAAACTATCATTTTAACAATCTCCAACTGGCCTAAAATAGAATTTCTATTACTTATTTTATACGCAGCAAAATAACTGTTTATAAAGCATACTCCTGTAGAGAACAAGAAATGAATTAAATGGGAGTCTAAATCATGAAAATTCACACTAGTGTTATTTGCCTGGGGTGTTTTTTGTTTTGCTTGTCCAGTTTTTTGAAGAATAGGTACAAAACTCTTGTTAATTGGGTCTTAACATATACTGAATAATTCTTAAAAGGTTCCTGTTAAGATAATTTTCCTAATTTTAAAAATATGAATAATTGCTTGTAGTAACTAAAACTAAAATCTGTTAACTTATTGTTTCTTTTCTTGTTCTCTAAAGATACCATATTGACTAGATTTCTGCTCTGGAGTCTTGGCCTAGGGTGAGATAGGCAGGAATATTCCTTTTTTCACCCTTTTGAGGCACTGGCAGATGTGTCTTGTGTACAAAGTCCCAGTGCTTGGGGGCCCTCTAAAGCATACAATTTTCATACTGGTCTGACTGCATTCAACAAAGGAGCTCCCCACTGGAGCCAGGACAGTTGCATCCAATGCCTGCTCTCCTGTCAGTCCTGCAGCTTTGTTTAGAATGTGAGTCTATCTCATTTGCATTTTTTGTCTGTCCTGTTCTCTGAAGGGTCCCCAGTGCTCTAGCGTTACTTGTTGGTGCACTGTGGGTTTTTTTAAGTCCATTTTGAGATGCCATTTCATCCTTTGAAGTGATCAGGATTCAGACAGAGGGTGGGTTTTCTATACTACCAGAGTTTGGATGTGTCAAAATGGCTTCTTAATGTTTCTTCAGTACAAGATATACACATGGCCTGCCTGGTTTTCACTGCATCAGATCTCATTGTGCAGCATGCCAGTCTAGCTTAAAGGCTTTTTTTGCTTGCGGGTAAACACTGCTCAAATTTTCTTTTAAATTTGATCAGTGTGTTGGGGTGTATTCAAGAATTGGTAACGTAACCCCAAACTCTGGTTATAACAACAAAATGCTTCAGATCTCTAGAGGTATCTATTTAAGACTTCAATTTGTGAGTTTGCAAAATATAAATAAACCAACATTTTAAATTGTGGATGCCTAACAGGACAACAAAATCAGTAATAGAGCTATTAAGTAAGCACTGATTTAGCATGCACTCAGACCATATAAGTACTTAGTTAGATACATAAAAACCTAAGTATTGTAGTCATATGTGAAAATTATGAGCATTTTATAGATGGATCTACAGCGTTTTTTGACAGTAGTGTAAGCATTGGACAACCTTCTCTGAGGAATAAGTCTTCTGAGATAGCTGAATACTATTTTCAGTAATCTATAATTTTGATTCTGAATGTTCTCAGTGAACTTTATTTCCAGTGGAAAGTTTTTACTTGTGCAGTCAGGATACTTGTTGGGAGGTATATATTTGGCTATAATCTCCTGGGGATATTTTCATTTTGAAAATCCCAGCCTTTGTGTCTGATCACTTCATTCAGTTTCATGAGTAAAGATGAGGATTGCTTTTATTTTGAAAGCAATATTCCAACTGCCAGACTCTGCAAGGTGCTCTCCTTGCTGTTAGATGAAGTTCAAACATGGTCATTTAAAGATCTTACCCTTAACTGTTCTCTGTTGATCCTTACTAAGGTAGTCGGTCTTTGGTGATTACCTGCATAAATAAGGCTTCAGGCCACTTCATTAATTTTTTGTCTAGTTTCTTAAATTGATGCTAATGTAAACCATGTGTTGTTGCTCTGATTGTAAGGGCCCATGTGGCCATACAATAGACTTGCTTGCTTGTTCATTTCTGTCACCGAATATTTACTTACTGTTTGTAGAAGATACGTCAGGAAATCTTGTGGTTTTCCTTGGTATATGAAATAACTTCACTTAGTTTCTTTCCTCCTCTATGACTTAAAAATGTATAATTTGTGGAGTTTTCCCTCACTCTTTCTGGTCTCTAAGATCTGGAATCCAGTCACCATAGTATCTTAGAGGGGAAAAGCATTTACAAGTTGAACCTCCTTGGTCCTGCACCCTCAGGTCCTGACTGGTTCCAGATGAGGGATTTTTCCATAACAGGGAAGGTCATTTCTGGTACACTGCTGGGCTCCATCCTCATGGCGCAGCCCCCCTGCTTGGGTCCATTTGCCCCACCAGGCAGCTTTGCGGTCAGGCTGTTGCTGTGCTGCTCAGAAACCCCACTCCCAGATTCCTGTCCCTGCCGCCAGGCTCCCAGCTGCTTGGCGGTAGCAAGGCTGCTGGGTGGCCCCAACTGCCTGTCAGTCTTACAAGGCAGTTTTGCCGCTTGGCTCCAGCCCCATTGCCTCCCGTTCCCCACCCCCACAGTGTTGGCCCTGGGCAGCAGCCTCACTGATGGGCTCCCGGTTTTACTGCCACAGGGCAGCTCTGCTACTTCCAGCCACCAGCCCTCTACCAGGACACTCTGGTCCTGGTTCTTCCATGGTCTTACCGGACCAGAGTGTCCTGGTTAAGAGAGGTTCAACCTGTACCCATAATTTATTCTTAACATACAATTTGACTTGATTCCTTGTTGGTGTTCCATCTACCTTTTAGAGTTCGGAAATGCAGTTTTAATGACTAACTTCTTGATTATTCTAACATACAGATACTTATTTTGGTCACAAATTATACTATCAAAGAAATTACTTCTTCCTTGCTCATCAAGAACCAGAAATGAATATTCAAGTGGCATTGTGGCACTGGCATTTTTATTTGTGCATATCATACTATTAAATTCAGAAGATCAAAAAACATTCAGATATATGGAAATCAGATATTTCTGTCATGCCAAAAACATAAGACAAAGAGAAGGAATTGAGTCAAATGATATCTTCAGAGAAGCCCATGTAAATTTTTCTGTCTCCTTAACAAGCATGTTAAACATTACTTTGTTACACTGCTTATAAATTGCTGGGGTTTTATAAATTTTCTTTTAGAATTAGGAGTAGTGTCATAGTTATTCAAATAGAAAACAAAGATGCATGAACTTTACTTACTTACTTCAGAAAACTGAAATTCTATTTTTTAGACTGGTCGATCTTGATAATTTCTTTTAACTAACCTTTTGTAAAGCTCCCTTGTAGTGTTTTTATCAATATTTTGAGAGCTGAATTTTCTTTTCCTGAGTTTAAATAAGGCAGTCACTGCTGCTTATAAATATAGGTAAATAAGTGCCATTTCTAAAATGATTTTGATTTGTTGATTTTAAAAATATTATTAGATATAAAGCCCTTCATTTCATTTTCCCAGTCTCATTCAGGTAGGCTTGAACTACATTAAGGACATATATAAACTAAATTAGACAGATCGAAATTGCAAATGAAGCCGGGATTTCTATTTCCTGTGCTTCATTTGCATAATGGTGGCCATGCTTTCTTTCAAAAACAGGTATTTTGAAAGTGAAAACGCCATTTGGAGCGGTTCTTTTGGGGGGGGGGAGAACCGTTTTTGAAAGATCCTGTACTCCTCAAAAAAATGAAGTTTACAGGATCTTTTGAAAGGATTTTTTTTCCCCGAAAGAACCACATCTAAACGGCATTTTCACTTTCAAAATACCCATTTTCGAAAGAATGTGCGGCTGCCATTATGCAAATGAAGCATGGGAAATTCAAATCCAGGCTTTGTTGGCAATTTTGATCTAATTTACATCCCTCTTTCAAAAGAGGGATGTAGTCTAGACATAGTCACAGTTTGCATTCATCTATACATACTATATATCCTAAAATGTATTATGGATATACAATAGCAAATGTGGTGATAGAATTTCCTTAATCCCAATTCCATATTATCAACATAAATATGCCCTTAGACAGAAACTTGGACTATATCATGTCCCCTAAGACCACGTGAAAACTTCTGTCAGATTTTTTTAAAAGAATAAAACTGAATATTTGAACACTATCTAGAAAGGTAAACCAAATGATATGTTTAAACACTTGTTTATATTTCTGTTAATTATAATAACAGACTATAGGAAAACTTTCAGAATGACCACTTATGGGAGTTAACAGAATGGTCACTTGTAAAAGATGGGCTCTCTTCAATGGTATGGTGTTGCCACCCTTATTTCTGCACTGTTTCTGGCAGTGACACCACCTTCAGAGCTAAGTGGCTGGAAATTGATGATTTCTGGCTGGGTGCCCCGCTATGAAGATAGCACCAATTCAGCAGCAGCGCAGAAATAAGGGTGGCATGGTTTCCCAATATGTACTCTTATTATTGTGAACAGCACTCAAATTTTAGACATACCTGAAATTTTTGAACTTATTTTAGTCATTGAACTGCATTAAATGTGCCTATTTTAAATAATAGATTTCAAATACTTTGTGAACGAAAACATTTTTTAAAAAGGCTATTCACACAAGAGAATCATGATTATGGAATGATTGTTCTGAATGCTATCATAATTCTTAAATATCTGTTGTCTTCTCTGTCTTCCAGTCTATGGTAAAGGACAAAAGAAAGGAGAGGAAAC